TCAACCTTGGCAACTTTAAGGTGTGTGGACTTCAACTCCCAGAATTCCCCAGCCAGCATGGCTGGCTGGGGAATTCTGGGAGTTGGAGTCCACACACCTTCAAGTTGCTAAGGTTGAGAAACACTGGGCTATGGGACCTCTATCTCACACACTGGGGTTAGATAATGCTAAGTAAAGTCATCTGCCTCAAGACAGGTGGTGGCAGCAGTAACTACCAAGCAGGTACACCAAGACAAGAAGGCAGGGCCAGGACTTATTTTATTTTATTTAAACAATTTAGAAGCTCCCAACTCCTAATGACTCTAGACAACTTAGAGTTAAAAAAACAAGAACAATATCATAAAAAAGAGAAAAATCCATATGCAGCCTGGAGACAGGCATATATGCCAAACAAAACAAAACCAAAAACTATCCAACAGGGGTTCCACCATCAATCAACCCCAACATCTGGGAGAGCAGATGGTTTTCAATAGCTTCCTGAATATCATCAGGGTGGGAGCTAACCAGATCAAAACTTCCCCTCCCAGAAACCCGCTGGGTCCACACATCCTGGCCAAGCATTCTGCGTCCTGTATTATTCCAGTTACCACTCTCTGCTTTCTGCCCCATGTTCCTACTGTAGTTGTCTTTAGATAAGAAGCTCTATCACTAGATACTTTTCTTTTCCTCTGTCCCCTACCTGGGTCAAGTCTCACCACAATGAGACACAACATGAAAGCCAGCAGAAGTGTCTTTTTGAAGGAGATGGAACTGAACTGCCTTGCCAAAGACTCCAGCATTCTTCTCAGCTGGACCAAGACGTTCAACATCCTTTGAGACGCCGAACCTGCAGCACAGAGAGAGAAACTGCACAAAGGGGAACACCAAAAGATGAACTTTCTCATATCATGTTTTTAAGATGTATGACTTTGTATTTTTTTCTTTGCAGTTTTAATGAAGATTTTAAAAAAATGAACTCTTTTTTCAGTGTCTTAATTATATAACCGAGATTTATTATAGTGGCTTCTGACATATGAACAAAAAAGTGTAAAAGAAACACGATTTGGGTTGTTTTAATCAATTCTTACCAGAATTATCTCAAAAGACCGGAGCTACATACATCTATCTTGCTGACTGTATTTTAACAACTGCATAATCCTGCTTTAACTCTTCACTTATGGGCACGCAAAGTTAATTTCTCCCAGGTGCGTCAAACGTTTCTTGTGGTTTGTTAGCCACAAATAATCACAGTTAAAATAGTCAACTATAGAAACTGGTCTTCTTATTCTGAAATAAGGTGTAAACTATATATTCCACAAATTAGTCTGCTGTAATAAGACAACTTTATTGCACCTTATTTACACTATGCCTGTAGAATATAACTTATGCTTGTTCAGGAGTTCACACAACATGCTAGTTTTTAAAATGACTGGGCACTTTATGTCTCACTGTTTTCTTCAAGGTTATTAATAATTAATTGTTAGATTATCTGTTCACCTAGCCCAGTATCAGCTACTCTTAATGACAACGATACTCTATGATTCCACTCTGGGATCTTTCTTTTTCCTTTAACTGGAATTGTGAAGGGCCGAACATCCAATTTTTCATGTGCCAAGAATATGCTCTGACTCTCAGCTGTGGTCCTTCCCTGAATCTGAGTGGAATCTAGACCTTTTTTCTTTCCTGAATGAAACTGTTGCAGTTTCCATCTGCCTCAAGGGAACAGTCACTGGAAGTCCAGCGGCATATAAATTTAATCTATTATTATTATTATTATTATTATTATTATTATTATTATTATTATTTGTAAACCCAGATGTTGTGAAATATGAAGAGCCAATCTGTGTGATTCAAAGAGACAGAGAAGGCTGTGGATTTTTTCTCTCCTTGGACCTGTTCCAATAATTCTGTCAAGAGAACTCTCTGCTTGGGCAACCGATCATTCAGATGCACCTTAAGGAAACAGGACTACCAGAACACAACAGCCAGATTTTAGCACTGAATGGCGATGCTTTGACCAACATATTACCTACCATTGCTTTAGCAGAAGCTCAATGCTCACTGCAGGCATAGATGCAAATGATTTCACAAGACCAGACGGAACATTTAGACCAGTGTTGTCCAAACTTGCCCACTTTAAGATGAGTGGACAGCACGGCTGGCTGGGGAATTCTGGGAGTTGAAGTCCACTCATCTTAAAGTGGCCAAGTTTGGACAACACTGGTTTAGACATTCAGAATTCCATCTACAAGAATCCTACCCAATAGCAGCTTCCATGTCATCTCTGGGTGCTCCTCAGGAATTGGAGATTCTTCTTTTTGCAGCCACTGATGCTTCTTCTCTTGAAGGTTTCTGTGCATGTCTGCTTGCTGCTCCTGGCTCAAAGCTTTGCAACCTTGGATCAGTTCCTCTGCCTCTGAAAAGTGCCCCAGTGGCAAGAGCACATGGAAGAGATAAAGCTGAGCCAACAGGCCATAACTTGGCAAGCTCTGATTGGATGGGAAGTATAACCAGTCCCCGCCAACATCTAACATCACATGAGGTTCTTCCACTTTGCTATGGAGGAGGATGCTGAAAGAGAACACATAACACCACCTTAAGACTATTACCTATATTCATATTTAGATTGGGCTTTTCTTAGACATTCAGAAGTGCCATATACAAAGTACCAGCAAAATGTCATGTCCATGGGCCCCAACGGATGCAACAGATTGCACCAATTAGTCCTCCTGACATTTTTTTAAAAGCCTTTTAATTTAAAGAAATGGGGAAGTGGCTTCCAGTTGAGGTGTTATGGCCAGTTAGACATCTCTGCAAGTGGCTTCGCAAGCAGAGATCACATAGCAGTGGAATTGCCAACCAGAAGACAGTTCTGGCTGACAGAAATTTCTCCAGAGGATGGAGAAATTGGGATCACCCCCTTGTGTTCCTCTTGCTCACGGGAATCCAGTTTCTTGTCATCAATTGGTTGAAATTTTGAATTTAAAAATAACCCAGGGAGATGGTTGGTATACAAGTTGTGAAAAGAAAAAGAAAAGAAAGTGATACTAAAGTTACAAGAATAGAATGCTGTAATAACAGATAATGGGAATATGCAAAAAGTGTTTCATCAGTAATATACTATTTTATACAAAGGTCAAGAAATTTCCTCGGAAAAAGTGGATGAATACTTGCACAACAGAATTTACTGAAGATTACAGACGAGTGGAGACAGATTTTGAATGGACCTGTAACAAGAAGGGAACTGTGTGAAGCTATCAAAAAGACTTACCTGGTCCAGATGATCTGCCAGCCTCTTACTATAAATGTTTTGAAGATGATTTTTTACAACCTTTACAACAAACTATGAATATCATTTTGCAGAATGGAAAGATTTCTGATAGCTGGAAAGAGGCTAATATAACATGAATACCTAAAGAGGGACAAGATTTGACTTTAACAAAAAACTATCAACCAATATCTTTATTGAACAATGATTACAAACGGCATACCACAATTTTGGCTGAAAGGTTGAAAATAATTTTACAGGATTTTATTCGTGAAGATCAATGTGGGTTTTTACCTAAAAGACAACTACGAGATAATATTAGAAATGTTTTGAATATTTTGGAATACTTGGAGCAACACAATGAAAAACAAGCTGCATTGATATTCTTAGACCCAGAGAAGGCCTCTGACAGTTTGAATTGGATTTTTTTGCTTAGAGTTCTGGAACATACAAACCTTGGAGATAATTTTATCAAATGGATAAGGTTGATTTATACTTCTCAGAAAGCACAAATAATTGTTAATGGAGAATTAACAAAAATTTTTGAGTTTCAAAAAGGGACAAAGACAAGAATGTCCACCACTTTTGTTCATTTTGATTCTTATTGAATAGAGACATAAAACAAAATCGGAGAATTATGGGAGTTAAGATTAAAAAAGAAACTTAGAATTTAAGGGCATTTGCAGATGATTTGGTGTTAATTTTAGAAGTTCCACTAGAGGGAGTAGAAGCATTAATGGGAAAATCAACAGACTCTGATATATTAGCAGAGTTCAAGATTAATAATCAGAAGATAAAGATTTTAACAAAAAATATAAAATTAGAAGATCAAATAGAACTGGTGGAGAAAACTGGTTTTAAGATTGAGAAAAAAGTAAAATACTTGGGTATTACTGTGACAAATATGAATTATATGTTATTTCAAAATAATTATGTTAAGACACGGACTGAAATTAAGGACATGTTAAGATGGGAGAAATTAAAATTGTCACTTAGAATTTCTGTGATAAAAGTGAATGTTTTGCCAAGAATGATGTCACAACAGGTATTGTCTGAAATAAAAACAACGGATGTACCATTTAAACAATGGCAAAAGGATATATCTAAATTTATATGGCAAGGGAAAAAAACACAAGTTAAATACCAAGTGTTACAAGATGCAAAGGAAAGAGGAGGATTGGGTTTACCAGATTTGAAACTGTATTTCGCTGCTTGTTGTTTAGTCTGGATGAAAGAATGAATGTTGCTGAGAAACAAAATATTTTTAGAGTTAGAAGGTCACGACCTGAGGTTTGGATGGCATGATAAAGTTAAAATTAATGTGGACTTTAAAAATCATTTTATTACATGTGCCATATTGAGAATATGGAATAGATGTGAACCCAGTTTGTGCCCAAAAACACCTTTATGGATCTTGGCTCAAGAAACATATCATAGAAGAGAACTGGCAGACAGAGATAAATGGTTGACATACTGGGACTTATTGAAAAACTATCAAGGGAAATTTAAAATCAAATCAAGAGAGCAATTAATAGCAGATGGATATAGTTGTCAATGGTTTTCCCATTTACAGTTATCTGAAAGACTTATGGTATGGAGCAAAGTAAGACAGAATTTGAAATACAATTGTGAACTTATGATGAACATGTAATTGCTAAAATGTACAAACTTTAGTTGAAAATTGAAACAGAAGAAGACCAGATTAAAGAATGTATGATAAAGTAAGCTAAGAATTTTGATTATAATATACAGATGGATCTATGGGAAAATATGTGGTTAAAAAGGTTGAAATTTACACTGTGTTATGATCTCAAAAAGAATTTCTATAAAATGATGTATTGTTGGTATATGACACCAGGCAAATTAGCTAGAATGTATAAAGCCACTTCAAATGTATGTTGGAAATGTGAACAACACGAAGGGACGTTTTATCATGCTTGGTAGACATGTAAAAAGAGCTTTAAAAAATTGGATACAAATACATACTTTAATATAGAGGATTTTAAAGATCAATATTCAATTGAAGCCAGAACTTTTCCTTTTAGGATTAATGGATAAACAGAAAAAAACCATGGAAGATTATTTCAATATATGATTACTGCAGTGAGATTACTATATGCACTGAGATGAAAAGGTTCAACACTACCCTCTATGGCAGAACGGTTGGTGAAATTGAGAGATTTTGCTGAAATGGATAAATTGACTTCTTCGATTAGAGAAAAAAACATGATCTACATTTATTGGTGACTGGAAGCCTCTTACGGACTTTTTGTGTAAAAATGAAAAAAAATGAACTTGTGATTTATGGTTTTGATGATTAGATAGGATAGATTATAGAAATAAGAGCAATATGATGTAACTTTAGAGAGAGAGGTTAAAATATATTTGCACTTATAATTGCTGATGCAACAACATAAAGATAGGGAAACTTCCCTGACACAAACTATGTTCTATCCAAGGTAATTTGGCACAGGCCAACAATGGGCAGGGCTCCTCCTCCTTTCTCTCTTTCTCCCCATCCCATGGGATCCTGAAGATCTGCTCTTGATAGAGATCTGAGGTTTCCCACCCACCTATTTCCAGCACTCCAACTTATTGTCTTTTCTTCCTCTGAGCATCACCCACCTGCCTGAAATCAGGCTGAGGCACCCACCCCAATATAGTGGACTGAGCACATGACAGGGAGGCTAGGTTTCAATTTGCCTTGGTCACGGACTGCACTGGCTGGCCACAAGCAAATCACAACTTTTCAGCTTAACCTACCTCACAGGCTCATTGTGACCATGAAAATGGGATAGCCTTGTATATACTATCCTGAGCTGCTTGGAGAAAAGACAAAGATGACTGGGGATGAAGGAGATGATAAAACAGATACGTACTAATTATCTTAACAAGGGTGGCAGAGGGTATACAATTCAGACACCCTGAGTCCTTTAAAGACTGCATTTGACAAGGATACTTCATATAAATTTATGGCTAGAATTTTGCTACTCTTCTCCTCTCCTGCCACCCAGATGTTGGATAAAAGACAATTTATCCAAACAGTCTAAATAACTGGCCGCACACACTGACCTTTCAAAGCCAGCACTTCCCTTTTGGTGAGGGATTATAGCTCATTAGTCCTGGAGAAAAATCTATCTACGTGCCCCCAACTTGATGGCACATAATCAGTCAATAGCTCATTGGAAGAAACCTTCTTTACATACAGTAACTCTCAGGTTTAACTACTTACAACTGCCATTAAAAAAGATAAAAGAGCAGGTGACAAGAAAGTGCTCTGCCAGAAACTCTGGAAAACTATTGTTAACTGGAACAAAGAATATTGGGTTAATCTGACCTGGTTCAAGGAATCTTCCTGTACTTGTTACTATAGACAGACACAGCTACTATAAACACAGCTATCATCATTGGATGACCTAAGCCAAAAAAAGAACCAAAGATAGGATGTTTAATGTGCTGATCAGTTTTGGAAAACTATCACCTGCTAGTTGCTGAAATTCTTGCAAAGCGTGTCCTTACCCTTGAAAAAAAAATAATCAAGAACCCTCCAGTGTGTTTAGGCAAGAGTGCACCTACAAGATAATTTAAGGCAGTATAATTTTGCCTCAATGGTTAAAATAACTTAACTATTTGCTCTCATTTTGTAAAGGGAACATCTTTACAGGACCACAATGATTTGAGTTTTTAACAAATTGGAGTTGCAGCCTTCCTGAAGATTAGAAATGTCTCAGCAGACCATGGAAAAATCTAGTTTCAACTAACTCGATTTAAGCAACATTCATCTAAAAATGTAACAGAATGGTTGCCTACTGTCATTAAACTAGAAGACTAGGAGCTACGTTCCTGGAAGTACCATAATTCTAGAGAAAGATTAAGTGACAAACTTTCTCCTTGATATTTAACTTGCTTTAGGTGGGAGCTCTTTCCACAATCTAATCTTCCTCTTGGGGTTGAGCAGTACCTGGTTTGCCATGCAGACACAGAAAAAGGGGACTCACCAGAGCTCCAGAATTTTGGGAGGCCAACATTCAGGTTTGTGGTAATACTGAAGAATCCATGGGAGGACTTCTCTCCATCGATCCATCTCTGCCAAAGCTTGGATGCCAACAATGCATAAGGAGCATTTCAGATCTTCAGAGCTGGATCTACAAGCCAGACAACATTGTGTATGTGTGCACTGGTGTATAACACAAAAAGAAAAGAAAAACTGCATTCCTATAAACAACCCAATTGCAATCTCTGCTCCAATTCTAAGGACGGACTGGATTCACATAATCCACTAAACCATGGTTTGCTTAACCAACCACATTACAGCTTAGTGCATAAATCAATAATTAAGATCCATTTTCCAGTTTGCAAATCTGCTAATAAAAAGCTTGGTTTCTGTATTGGGAGCGTGCTTGGTTTAGATGTGGTAATATTGTGTTGCTGTTTCACTGTTGTTCTTCAGTTGCATTGATTGTTTTGCTGTTGTACATTTATAAATTACTTTGGGGGCTTTTATATAAAGGTAGAAAGAGTTGGAGACCCCCCAAAAAAACCCAATGTGTCTGCCATTCACTCTTTCAGTGTCCCCATGTAATATCTCCCCTTCACTCCTCGGCCATTCATGCTAATAAGTACCAGATTGCCCTGGAAATAAAGATAAATAGATATATACAATTCCCTTAAAAGAGGTGCTTCACACAACTCCAATGTCCATCAGCCCAAACAAGCATGGCTAATAAAGAGGATGGGTGAAACAGTCCAACAACATCTGGAGAATAACACCTGCTGTTAAGGGCGAACAACTCCAAGCTGGTTCCGAAATCTCACTCTTCATTCCAGTTCCAGCTGGCACCTACCGGTCAGAATCGTCACTTTCCAAAAGGCTCTGGCAGCCTTTCCCACATCTGTCCACAGCTGCAGCAAAGTCCCTGTTCAAAACCAGGAGATCAGCAGCTTCCTCTAATAAAGAAACTGCTTGGGGTGCAGGTGGAGGGAGAAGGTTGGGCTCGCTGCTTCTTAAGAGGGCCCTTGCCCTAGCGATGGCAGAAAACATCACCGATGCATCGTTCTTCATCATCCCACGGTCCTCCAACTCAGCTATGCTAGAGGCCTGGGAAAGTGTTAGACAACAGGGCGTTCATCAGTTTTGGAATTTGACTTGAGGCATATTTTAAGTCGAGGGTTCTCCTAACCCACTTCCACCCCCAACCCCATCCCAGTCCAGGGCAATCAGTTGCTAGCAAAAAAATAAGGATCGGGGGGATTGCAACAGCTAGTATCCTACTAAGAGATTCCTTTTCATCTTGCATTCTTCAGTACCCAACAGAAAAGATGGGGCAACGACCACAATCCGGCAAACTGCTAGCCCAGCTCCGAATCTAGCTAGGATGGTTTATGGGCCCTGTAGATCTTATCCTCGAGCTTCCTACAGCTTTTCTCCCTAATCCTTGCAAAAACAACCGAAATGCGCTTCCTTCACCGCTGGCCGCAGGACAGGCCCCTCGCTCGTCTTGGCTTCCCTGGGACGCAGAGGGGACCTGCCTTTTCGCTTTCCGTGCGAAATTGGGAACCAATGGGAAAAGGCTGGTCGAGGAATTCCGGACTACAACGACCAGAAGGCTCCTTTTACAGGAAGTAGCTGGAAATGGGAGGAGCAGGAGGAGGGGCGGCGGTTCCTACCGCAATAGCAAGCCTTAGTTTGCTTGGACCTGGTTGTGCGCTCTTGCTGCGTTTTGCAAACGCAGCGCGAGGGAGGATTCAGGAGCTCTGCAATTCCAAGGGCTTCTCGGATGATCTTCCAGGATTTCTAAGGAATTTTCTGCATGCTCCAATATTGATACATTGGCTGGGATTCCCACCCCCCTCCTCATTTCTCATTAGCGGCTGACCGTGAAGTCTATCAAGGTCATCCTACCAAGGTGGAAACGAAATATGTCTATGCTGAATTACATTTTTTTCTAATGTTAGGTAAACTGATTTATGCTCATAATTTTGGTGGCTAATCTGGCACCACTACATATGATTAATTTTGATGAGATGGATGCTTTTGAAAAGTCTTTTTCTGATTCCTCGTTTTACATTAAAAAAAACCTTAACATTAAAAAAAACCTAGTTTGCACAAGACAGTAAGCTACAATGTGGTTCTATAATTTGTGGTCCTGTGCATTAAAAGAAGCAGTGAAGTTAGCATTGGTTTGGAACCGTGTTTCTCAACCTTGGCAACTTTAAGATGCGTAGACTTCAACTCCCAGAATTCCCTAGCCAGCATGCTGGCTAGGGAATTCTGGAAATTGAAGTCCACACATTTACT